CTGCGGTATCGAGCAGCAGCATGCTCCTGGGGGGTCTGCCCTCACCCGGGGGGCTGGCGTCGCCGGCGCCGCGGACGCCTGAGGACGGGGCTGCGTCGCCGCTCAGCGCGCTGGGGTCGCTCGCGCGCAGCCGGCGCGGCGGCGGCGGCAGCAGCGGCGGCGGCGTGCCGCTCGCAAGCATAGTGGTGGCGGCGGCGGCGGAGGCGGATGCGCATGGGGACTTGGCGGCAGCGGCCTACTTTCATGCGCAGCAGGCGGCGACCTGGCGGATGCAGGGTGGGGCCGCCGTGCTGCGGCCTGGGTCGGCCAAGAAGTATCGCGGGGAGCGCGGCACCTTCTCGATGACTCAGCGCGGTGTGGTCACAGGCATGCCGGGAAGCCGGTAGCATAGATGTAACGCATTCATGCAATAAGGGAAGGGCAGGCGATTGACCCCTTGGGACGTCTGGTGCTCCGAGGAAGGCAAGGGCAGCATGGCGGCTGTGGTAGAGCCCTCTACCCCTGAGTGACGGGTGAGATCACCTCAAATTGGTTGTTTTCATGCTGCATCTCATAGTGATGGGAGATGATTTAGGTCGCACTCACTGTTATCGGGCCGCTTGTAGTACATTTACGTCGACGAGTGTGCGACGGACGCGGTCAACATAGCACGAACTAGCAAGAACGCGACGGATGCACGCCATGGAAACAGCAGAAAACATTCTCAGCTTGAACTTATTTGCATTTGACGTGACGCCTCTCGCCAGGCCCGGCGCCGGCGCCAGCAGTGCGTGGCAACGCGTCGCCACAGCCGGCCGCTGCACCATTGCCTTCACATTCCTGGATTACCCCACAGTGCTGGTGCACGCCGTTGCTGCGGATGGATACCCAGTGAACCATGACGCGCGTGCGCCCCTGCGGTTTGGTGTCGGCAAGAGCTGCACAATACACGCTGACGCGAGCGAACTCGCGTTTATATCGCAGCGGGTAAGGGCAGACGGCACGGCTGCGCAAGCCCGCTGCGAGGGGGACCAGCAACAGACGGGGCGCCCACCCCCCATACGCGGGTGCAGTTGATGGGTCACCAGAGAGGCAACCGCGTCAGCAACTTTTGTCACGTACGGTTCTTCGCAAGCTCACGGCGACCGAAATGCGGGCCACTCGGCACCAAATCCCTCATTGCGGCGCAGGTGCCGACGGCTGTCATGCTCCTGGACACCACCCGTGGCCAGGCGCCGTCCCTCATAGCGTCTGGCCGAGCATCCACCTGCCTCTCGACCGGCAACGTCGGCTGCGGCAGCAGCAGCAGCTGCGATGCAGACAATCGCTTCGATGTCACTGGTCTGGTCCAGCAACTGCCGCTTTTCGACTCCGCGGGGCGGCGGGTCGCCTTGGCGTGCGTGGTCGTGCTGCTGCAGCCCGGCCGAGGGGGAGTGCTGCCCTCCCTGCAGGCCGAGCTGGACGCATGGCAGCAGCAGCAGCGGCAGCAGCAGCAGCAGCAGCAGCAGCAGCAGCAGCAGCAGCAGCAGCAGCAGCAGCAGCAGCAGCAATGGCTCTGGCGGACAAGTGGTGGGAGGCAGCGGCAGCTGCAACAAGGGCGCTGGAGCCCCCCTCCAGACATGGTCGGGCTGCGCAAAGAGCCGCTGCGCAAAGAGCCTCTGTTCACAGGCAAAGGTGCCACTGTCCGGCACACGGGGCAGGCAATCGGCGGGGTGCAGAGGTGGACAAGCCCAGAGCGTGCGGTGGACGCGCCCAGCCCCGACGGCAGCAGCTCAAGGGACCAGCGGCGCGGGGGCGGCCTGCTGGCCGGTGAGCTGCCACAGGCACCTTTCTGCAAGCCTGGCGCTGCCTCATCTCTTGGCGACAGCTCTCAAGGGGGATCAAAATGCGAGGAGGAGGCGCATCTGGCAGCAGCCACGGGGCAGGAAGAGCCTGCCGGGTTGTCTGGGCTGAGAAGGGCGGCTGATGTGGTTGACAGCAACAGCGACGACGAGAACTGCGCAGGTGTGCGTAACAAGGCAGCTGCAAAAGGGCACGGGGCGCCAGCGCCATTGCCTGCGGGCGGCAGCAACCGACAAAACTCTGCGGAGCAGCAGGCTTTGGCAGCCCCAATCACTCAGCAACAGCTGCAGCCGCAGCCGCAGCCGCAGCCGCAGCCGCAATCCCAGCCGCAGTTGCAGCTGCAGCTGCAGCAGCAGCAGCTGCCTGCGTGGGTCTGGACGCCCCAGGGCCCCGTCCAGGCTGTTATTCAAGCCTCCCTGCCAGGCATAGCAGAGGGGCAGCACTGCCTAACTTCAACGGCGATGCCGCCGCCCTGCTTGTCAGGGTGGTGGCCCGTCGGGGGTGGGGCGGGTCAGCTGCCAGCACAGCAGCAGCAGCAGCAGCAGCAGCAGCAGCAGCAGCAGCAGCAGCAGCAGCAGCAGCAGCAGCAGCAGCGGCGTCAGGACGCGGCGCCTGGGACGGCTGCTGTAGTTTGGGAGCTTGCAAACCTGATGTGCATGAGGTCGGTGCTGCAGCAGGCAGTCGGGGCCATGGGGGACCAGTTGGGGGCGGTCGCGCGCCGCATGGCCGAGCAGCAACTCGCCGCCGCGTTGGGGCGACTGCAGGGGAGGCTGGCAGGCGCCGCGCTGGCGGCGACGGCGGCTACTGCGGCCGCTGTCAGCACAAATACGCAAGCAGGCCTCGGCGCTGCCGTGGCGGCTGTGTCCGACCCTTTGCGAAGCGCGCTTGGCGTGACAGCCGCGAACGCACCCAATATTGCTGGCGCAGCAAGCGCGCCGGCGCGACGAGCGTCGGGCGTTGAGCGTGGCGGGAAGCAGCAGGGGCCAGCGGCTTCAGACCTTCAGGAACTCGAGCAGCATTTCCAGTCGTTGGAAGGCTTGTTGGTGGTGCGCGAGGGCGGCAGCAGCAGCTCCAGCAGCAGCAACAGAAGCAGCAACAGAAGCAGCAGCAGAGGCAGGCGGCGCGGGCGGGCGGTGGGCGAGGCTGGGGGCGGGGCAGGGCTGGCGGCGAGCTTCGACCGGAGCCAGGGGCTGCTGAGTGGACAGGGCTCCCATCAGCGGCGGGCCACAGCTGTGCAGCTCACGTGGGGCGGCGCAGGCGGTGATGCTGAGGGCGCTGCGGGGCCAGGCATGACCCTCCGCCTGCGGCGCACGGCGTCTGCTGCCATCCGCACCGCGGCGTCGTCACTCGAGGCCAGGCCGCTGTCGGCGTCGGAAGAGGCGGCAGCGCTGGGGGAGGGGCAGGCGCTGCGCCAGCACAGGCCAGCATCTGCGCAAGCTGTGGCGCTTGATTGGGGACTGCTGCCCGCGACCGCGTTGCACCCAGAGATTTCGGCGCCACCCAAGGCAGTGGCTGAGCCTCAACACCTGCCGCCGCTGCCCTTCGGGAATGCTGCTGGTGCCAGAGGCTCCTCGTACACGCGGGTGGCACCCTCACCGGCGCAGGCGCCAGTGGTGGCAGCAGCAGCTCCAGAGGACACGTCAGCAGCACACCCACGAGCCACCATGCCGGCCAGCAGCTTGCCCCAGCCCGCCGGCACGCGGCTGCCGCGGCTGCCAGCCGTGCCAGCGGCGGCAGCGGCCGCCGAGCTGAGCGGCGCCGGTGCTAATGTGGGGCTGACTGGCCGTCCTTCCCTCAACAGCCTCTGGAACCGAAGAAGGTGAGACATCTCCAAAGTGTTGTCGGGAAGCGGCAAACACTGCTAGGTAGAGCGGTCTTGTCACTGACGGGGACACTGTTGCGTGGCGGCTGTATTAGAGCAAGTAGCAAGTGCCGGTCAGGAGTGCTGTCGGCGTGCGTGCCGCACCCGCCAGCCCCTTTGACATGCACATTTGTGCCCGCGCCGACCTCTCTTCATAGGATGAGCGGGACCCAGTCCATTGACATCAGCCACGGCGACCCGAGCTACGACGACGATTTCGAGGCTGACGGAGATGCAAACAGCAGCGGCTACGGCGACAGCGCCCTCGGCAGCTCTGGCCCGGTCGCGCACCAGCCCGTCACCTCGCCACCGGGGCTGGGGGTGCCCGTCGCAGGCAAGGCCTGGAGCCCTGCGGGCGGCGGCAGCGGCGGCCGCAGCAGCCCGCGGTGGCTGCAGCGAGCCAGCCTGGACAGGCGGCCAAGCGAGCTGCCTGAAATACCCGAGGAGGACGAGAGGGTGGCGCTGGGGCTGCAGCGCGCCCAGCAGCAGCAGCAGCAGCAGCAGACATTGCAGCAGCAGCAGCAGCAGCAGCAGCAGCAGCAGCAGCAGCAGCAGCAGCCCGCGCCCGCAGGATCCAAGGTCCTGCTGCAGCGCTCGCTGCAGTCACTGCACTCCCTCGCGCGCTCCTCAAGGTACACATCCGAGGTTGACGACGAGGCCCGGGGCACGGCGTCCGAGGTTGACGAGCTCGAGGATGCACTCCTGGCCCGTGCGGGGCAGTCCATCGAATCCGAGGAGTGGATCGCGCGCGTCGGCGCCGTCACCGCGGCGGCGGTCGCTGCCGGGCCAAGGGCGGCGGGGGCGCCGGCGAGGGCGATGGGCGGCGCTCGGGCGCGGGGGGGCCAGCCGGGGATGGTGCGGCGCGGTCCGCGGCCGGCCCCGGCTGCGGCTGGTGCGGCGGCAGCGCCGGCGGGCGCTGATTATGCGTCTGCTGCAGCTTACTATGGTGGGGGCCGCAGCGACCGAAGCAGCAAGCGGTCAGATGGCAGCGACCTGCTGAAATCAGAAGATCTGCGCATGATCGAAAGCGACGGCGAGAGCGCCGGCCGCCGCAGCTCGCAAGGAGCCCGCGGCGAGCGCGCCTCAACGCGCAGCTCGTCTGACAGCAGCGGTGACAGCAGGGTCGGCGCGCACGCGGCGCCGCAGGCGGCGAAGCGGCGCCCCGCAGCGGGCCTTGGCCACCCGACCAGCCGCGTGGGCCAGCGGCGGGTGAGTGCGTTCTCAGACGTCTCATTCCTGTCTGCGGAGGAGGCCGCCGCGGGCCCCGGCAGCAGCGACGACGACGACAGTGGCTCGCACGGGCAGCCGGGGCGCACCCGCCGCCGGCGGCACCACCAGGCGCCCGAGCCGCAGCGGCGGCGCGGCGGGAGCTTTGCGGAGAGCCGCGGGAGCGCGGGGATGCACTCGTATGCACCCAGTCTTGGGAGCGATTTTGACTTGTCAGGCGACCTAGAGGTGGCTGGTGGCGGCGGCGACGGCAGCAGCAGCCAGGGAGGAAGGGGCATGAGCCACAGGGGGGCAGCTGCTGGCGGGCAGGGAGAGGTGGTTGGCGGGAGGGAGTCAAACAGCATATCTTCCCTCAGCAGCCTCGGAGACGGCGGCGGCAGCGGCGGCGGAGGCGGCGGAGGCGTGGGCGGCGGACAAGCGGGCGCAAGGGGCGGCGGGGCGGCTGCGCGCAGGGGTGCGGAGAGCCCCGGCGACGGGGGCTCGGCGAACCCGCGGCGGCCCCGGGGCGCAGCTTCGCCCTGGCGCGGCGCGATGGACTACTAGAGCAGCAGTGTTTGGGTCTGACGGCCCCTCGGCGGCCTCAGCTGCTGGGACGTTTGGGCACCTCCGGCGGTAAATCAACACCCAGCTGCACACACGTGTTACAGTGCAACAGCAGTTGCTGTCGGAGCCGTCGTTGGGTTGGTGACTTCTTATTGCACAATTGTCAAGCCCTAGATTGCGAAACAAAACCCCAGAAAAACCGGAAACCAAACCTGTGTTGAATTCACCAATCGCAGCCAGGTGTGAAGTAGCCCAACCCCAACTGGCCGCGTGCATTCACGTGAGCCAAGTAAGGTTGTAAGTGTTGCTCAAGTGAACAAGTTCAGATCCTGCCAAAAGCGTGTAAGCACGCGATATGCAGGGCCCTCGTGTGGGGACTTTGGTGAGGCGGGTCTGCCCGCGCCGATCACAACCTCAAACGGCTGAGAGTGGCCACAAGGTCGAGCCGCAATATGCCGCAGCAGTCGGCTGTCAGCGCAGCTTTGCGCGTGCCCAGGTTGCTTTGCGCGCCAGAGCGCCACGCATGCCGGCCCTGCGTGAAGGGGTGTGTTGTGTCTTTGCTCAGTGCCTGATCGGCAGGAATCCAGAGCGGCGCAGCAAAACGACCGCGCCGCGCCGCCCGAACGCGCTGTGTGGCAGGCGCCGGGGAGACCTCCAAAGGGGTTTGAGCCGGGCGCCGGTACACGGGCCAGCCTGCGACGCAAGGCGGGCCCGGGGCCGATCAAACAGCTGGCGGGTGCCCCTTTGGACACGCAGCCGGCTTGAGGAGTTCCTAGAGACAAGTCCAGCGAGTGCAGTGCTCAGCGCCGCAGGCACCAAAGTCCCCTTGGCTGGCCCAAGTGCACGAATCCGACAAAAGACGGCGAGATCAACCCGAACAATAGATAAGCTGCATGGGCAACGCAAGGCCAAAGTCGCAGCCGTCCGCCCGGCGCCTTGCTACAGACGGGCCAACAGATGGGCGCCAGCAGCGCCCCGAGCGGAGTCCAAGGCGTGCAGACGTGTCCCTTCGACTTTCCGCCAACACCCTTCAAGGTGTGCTTGATGCGGCCATCCGCAATCGGAGGACATATCAAATTGCAAAACGTTTCAAAACGGTGATGGGCGCAGCACAGACCGCCGCCCTCCCCTCTGCTCCCGGCCCCTCGCTCAATGCGCCCCCTCCTCGTGCTGCGCGGCCGCCGCGCGCGCCGCGTCCACCATCCCCGCAAACACGCCGCCCGCGCGCCGCTGCAGCTCGCCCGGCGGGCCCGACTCGACGAGCTCCCCGTTGGACAGCACCAGCAGCTGGTCGGTGTCCAAGATAGTATCTATGCGATGCGCGATCACCAGCAGCACCCGCCCACCCCCGCCGGGCCCGTCGGCGTCGGCGGCGGCCGCGCCGCCGATGCGGCGGGCGCCGTGCGCAAAGTCGCGGACGGCGGATTGGATGAGGGCGTCGGTGGCGCGGTCCACGTTGGCGGTGGCCTCATCCAGGGCCAAGACCTTGGCATCCTGCAGCAGGGCCCTGGGGTTGGGGCAGTGGGGGGGGGCGACAGGGTGGAGGTTTGAAGGTGGGGTTATTCAAATATGGCAGGGTGGGTGTGTTGGTGTGTTTTGAGGCGCGAGTCTGGGTGTCAGGTTGTGTCATTTCCGGTGTGAGAGGCGGGGGCGCGACGGATTTGCTGGCCATATTCCAGTGGACAGGCAGCGACTGTCTTGGGGGCAGCGGCAGAGGGTGCGTGTGGCGCGTGGGGATCAGAGGGCGTGTGCTGCGGGGGGTGCAACGCGACCACGCCAGCGCCCCTCACAAAACAAGCGACAACGGCAGCACCGCGCCGCATGAAACAGAGACCCGCCCTTCTCGTTTGCAACCCAATAGGCAGATCCGCCGATATATACACCGTCACCGGAACCCACCTGGCCAGGCAGAAGAGCTGCCTCTGGCCGACGCTGAGGTTGTCGCCCGCCTCGGACATGGGGGCGGCCAGGCCGCCCGCCTCGCTGATGGCCGGCTTCAGCTGAACGGCGCCAAGAACCTCCCACAGGTCTGCGGTGCATTGAGGAAGGGAAGTCGGTTGGACGGCTGGGCATGAGAGTGTATATATATTTATATATATGTGTGTGTGTGTATGTGTGGGGGGGCAAGGTGTTTGGAGGCATGTGCAAATGGGGAGTTCGTCTGGATGGATGGCTGCTGAGGAGAGGGGGCTCAAGGCAGAAGCCTGGGCGTAGCTTCATGAGATTAGGAAGCTCAGATTTGCGAAGCGAAGCGGCGACGAAGGGCGGGCGGTGGTTCCAACGTGGCGGCGGCCAAGGCACGCGTGCGGCCTTCTGCAAGGGGGCAAGCCGGCGGAGCGCGCGCTGACGGGGTGCTGTTGCGCCGCGGCTCACCCGCGTCCGAGTGGCGGTCCCAGGGGTCAAGGTTTGAGCGCAGGGTGCCGCTGAACAGGACCTGGGGGGCGGGGCACAGAGGTGTTTTGTGGTGTTTTTGTGGGGTGTGTGTGTATGTGTGTACGGTGTGTGTGTGTATGTGTGTGCGTGTGTACGGTGTGTGTGTATGTGTGTACGTGGTGTGTGTGTGTCTCCGGCCTGGAGAAGGGAGAATGGAGAACATGACACTGGAATGATTCCAGCGCTCTCCATCCTCAAGACGAGGGGCTTCATTCCAATTCGGATGGACCGTCGAGTCCGAGATGAGTACGCGCCTAGCCGTTGCACGATCGACAGCCCCAAGGCGCACCACAACCCCGCGTCGCCGTGCCCAGCCGACCCACCGGGTCCTGGGGGATGATCGCCAGCTGGCGCCGCAGCACGTCCAGCGCCACCGACGACGTGTCCAGACCGTCCAAAAATATCGTGCCCTGATCCACGGATATCAGCCTGAACAGCGTGAGCATCAGGCTGCTCTTCCCGCTGCCCGTCCGCCCGACCACGCCGCACGAGCAGCCGCCGGGTAATGAGAAGGACAGGCGGCGCAGGACTGGCGGGAGGCCCGGGCGGTAGGAGGCCCAGACGTCGGAGTAGGTGATGGCGCCGCTGGCAGGCCAGCCGGGCGGGGGGGCCTTGCCGCCCTCCTTGAGGCGCGGGGGCTCCTGGGGGGGCCGTACAGGGTTCGGGATTGAAAGCATCGGCTGAGTTTTTTCGCGGTGGTTCTGCGGCGAGAGCTCTGGGGCGTTGGGGGGGTAGCCTCAAGCAGCACGGGCGTGAGGCGTGCTGATGACGGCGCGCACGTCTCCCGCACGTCCGTCCGCCGGCCTCAGTGACGTCAGGTTGCGTCACACCAATGGACTGAGCCGTCCCACGACTGCAGCCCCCCAAAAGGAAATTATAAGTACCCTCGCCGCTGACCTGTGAGAGCTCTGTGTACTCGAGCATGCGCTCCACGCTGGTCATGGCGTTCTCCACCTCAGCGGTCTGGCGCACCCACCTGTGGGGGAGGGGGCGGGTGGCATGAGCGAGGTCAGTTTGGATGACGTCGGCGGGGGAAGGGGAGAGGGAGAGAGGGTCGAGGCGAGTTGGGGCTTAGTCAGCGTGGCGTGTGAGTGAAGTGCGTGTGGGTGTGAAGGTGGGGTTCCCTGCAGAGGCAGTGCTGGCAGGCAGCAGCAGCACGGTGTTGTGGGGCCGATGCCGTCGTCTCCTAGCAGCGCCGCGCCTCCAGCTGCTGTTCGTCATCCCCGGCGGCTCCCCACGTCCCCAACCGCCGCCCTCCCCACCGCAGGCATGTGTGCACATGCAGCGTGCCCCCGATACGCCGCGCCGCTCACCACTGCAGCATGCCGGTGAGCTGCAGCACCTGCGTCAGCGCAAGCGCGAGGATGGCGGCGCTGATGCGGTCGCGGATGGCCATGGCCAGGAAGACCCCCGCGGCCAGGGTGACGGCGGCGATGACGTCGAGGCGGAAGCCGACCCAGCGGGAGGTGCTCAGGAAGGCGTACCTGCCGGGGGGAGGTTGATATTGTTGAGTGTGAGGGAGGGGATGGGGGGTTGCGTGCGAGTGTTTGTTCATGGGTAGGGGAGGTATGTGTTTGTGTGATTGTGTGTGTGTGTGTGTGGGGGGGGGGTGTATATGCACGCGCGCAGAAGGGTGTCTCGTGCTTGCATGCAAATGGAGGGTGCGAATGTGATCGTCCTTGGTCCTTGCAAGCATCAGCGACACAGCGGGCCGCCCATGCAGGCCTGAAGCTGCCAGACTGGGCCGTGGCCGACGCATGGCAGGCACCCTGGCAACAACCAGAGCGGCAACAACCGCACCAGCTCCAATGCAACAAAGCGGGCCCTTGCAAAGTCGTGCCACGCTGGATTTGCCCACCACCAGGACCCGTTGAGCGTGAGCAGCGAGAGGAACGAGTCGTGGAAGCGGTGCTGCGCGCCGTACGCGCGGATGGTGGGCAGGCCCTTGAGGGTGGCGCTGAAGGAGGCGTACACGGGGGAGCGCGTGATGGCCTCCAGCCGCTTGACCTCGCGCGACGTCACTATGTACCTGCCGGCGGGAGGTTTTCGTGTTGCGGGGTGTGGAACATCAGCGTTGTGTGCAGCCGCTATGCATCGGCCAGGAGGTCTGCGATGTATAAACAGGTTATTCGATGGTTGTGGGACACAGCGCTCTGCGCACCCTGCCAAACGCAGAGGCGGCGGAGCGAGCTCGGGTTGCCCACGCTTTTGCAGGGCCGACCGCACGCAACAAGAGCACATCGCCAGCCCCCCGGGGTTGAGGCGGAGGCGGACAATGGCAGAGCCGCAGGCCTGGAGAAACGCACCTCCTCCGAAGCAGCACGAAGATGATGAGGAGCGGTAGGAACACCGGCAGCACGACAGGCACTGCGATGGCCATGAGCACGAGGGAGCCCAGGACCATGCAGCCGATCTGGAACGAGTCAAACATGGCCAGGGGCAGCTGCGGTGGGGGAAAGGGGCAAGCGTGGGGACAGGTAAGGGGGGCGCGTGATCGCTAGGTGGGGCTGAGGTGGCGGGTGGGTTGATGTGGGACTGGGACCTCCAGGAGCCGAGTTGACGCAGGGGTGTGAGCTTGAATGCCGCCTTCGTCCCGTTTGCTGCACACCCTTATTAAACGTGACGTGGCTATGACCAGGGCCACGCCTGTGCAAAAGGCAGTCGTCCCCTCGCCTCCGTAATCCATGAGGCGGCTTCCCTGGCCAGGCCTGCATCCGACCGCTTCCCTCCACTGCCTGACACCCACCACCCTCCTTCGAGGGCCCCAAGTTCGGGCCCATGCCACCTGCGCCCGGTCTTCCCCGCACCCCCATCACCCCAATGTCAATGCACACCTTAAGACAGCTCCACTGGCCCATGCATGCATGTTTTGCCCTCCCGATCAACCTGCCAACACAACAAACCCAAAACACCAAACCCGGATCCCCAAAACTGCAGAAGACAACCACACCCCCATCGACTCCCCGAATACTACACCCCCTTGCGAAAACTTACCTCCCCTAGATTAGCCCCCAAA